ACCACGGAAGAAAACTATTCGTGCCCCCCCCCACTGGCACCTGGGGCCGTCAAAGAAACGCTCGAGATGCCAGTCCTTGTGAAAAGGGTCCAGAGGTTTGGAGGTCCACGCGGCGTGAGAATCGCGACGTCGAGGGTTCGGGTTCCGAAGTTTGAGCGCAACAAATCAGCAACACCGAGTTCTACAATCGTAAAGTGTCGGCGGCCCCGCGGACTTCTTGGGTCGGCGCTGGATACCCCTGCCCCAGCGCGCGAAACGCGGCAGAGGAGGCGCCGTAAGCGCCAGCAGGGGATCAGTGCCGACCCAAGAACTCTGCGCGGACTTCCGACAGTTCAAGTTTGCGCAATTTGGGGTTTTTCCTGTGGGCGTCCAACATTGCGTCTGTATGGCACTCTGGCCCTCCATCATCGCAGACTACCGCCTCCACCTGCGCGCGCCGTGGGAGGGCACCACAGCGGCCGCGCTGGCAGGGGCCGCGATGCTCGTCGCGGCGGGCGTGTACGGCGCCATGGGCGTGGCGACTGCGTCCAAATCAGGCAGTGTGCTTCCCTGCCACCAGAAGGCACATTTCGTCTGAGAGCATAGGTTCGCGACGTGTTGGCGCGGTGGCGACCCCAGTGCGGCGTCCAAGGTTGAATGCCGCTGGTGGTTTGGAACCGGCGGCCATCAGCGAGCGGTCTGCGCTATCGCAGGGCCAAGTTTGCTAACGGTTGCACGATCCACACGGTGTCACCATCCACCCCAGAGATCCGATTGTTGTTTGTTCGAAAAGTTCCGTCCTTTTTCCCTTGGCAAGCTTTTCCATCCCTGGCACTTTGTTTGGCGTTCTGGGCTTCCGCCGAGGGCCGCCCGCAGCCGATACTTGAGCGACGGAAGAAAACGGGGTCGACTGCGCGGACACTTTCCCGCGTAATGTCGCGCGCCAGCGCTCTTTTCTACACGCGGTGTGCCACGCTGGCGGGCTGGGGAAGCCGCGGCGTGAGGTCGCTGTGTCATCGTGGATAAGGCCCGTTTTCATGTCGTCGCTCAATCGACCAATCGTCGCATTGTTGTTCGGTGCTTTGAATGTTTGGGGTCGCCCTCGTCATAACGACGCGCGCCCGCTGCAGTTGTCTCTCTTTCCGCGGAACTTTCGCCGGGTCTCACGGCGTATCCGGTGGGCATGGCCGCGACTCAACACCGAGGTGCCTCTGCGATTTACCATATGCCGCTTTCTCGCGCTCCTCTCACCCCTTGGAGGCTCTCGTTCTGCGGTTGGAATCCATCCAATACAGCCACCTTGGGGATCGATGTTCGCAGAACTCGGCAGGAGGTGGACATGGATAGATTTGCTTCCCCCCCAAGGGCCCGAACATGCCCATATCTACCGCCTGCCCAGGTCGCCCCCGAAGATATATCCCCCAGGCGCGCGTTGAGGATAAATGCCAGCCTTCGTCCTCGTCAGCATCGTCAGTCGGACCTGTCCCCATCCCCAGAAGGCCATATTTCCTCTAGGCGACACCAGCCTACCCCCTCGAGGTGGGGATGGATGCCGCGAAACCCGTCGGAGACTGCATCTATCCCCTTCCAGGGGTTAGGTCGGACGGCGGAACCAATGCTTTCCCAGTTTGGACGGGGGCAGGTCTAGCGATGCTCACCTCGGTGGTCCTACTCCCCCTCCTCCTGCTCACCGTTCTGTCTCCAAATCTGGCTCCTCCCTTCCCCCTCCCCCTGCCTCCTCGCCTCGTTCCAGGTCGGCTCTGACGTGTCCGCGGATAGAAAAAACGCAGCGCACTTAGAAGGAGTTGGAGGGAGGGAAAAGGATGTCAGATATGTCGCGGGCGCGCCTAGCTTGCACCTCCTCTCCCTCCCCTCTCCTCAGCTTCCCAGTTGTTCCTTTCACACCTGCGCATTCGAAGTACTATGTTCCTCTTTCCCTTGATACTGTCCTTCCGAAGGTGACCTCTCACGCTTGTTTTTTGGTTGTCACTTCGTGTGGACGTACACGTGCCATTCGGGCGTTTGTGTGTTGCAAAGCGGTATTCCCGCTGCAGCGTTGTTTCATTCCAGAATCTCAATCGGGTTTTAGGGAGTTTTTAGTCATTCAACGGTTCTCCCGTTGCAGGGCTGGCCACATTTCGGGATTGGTGTTGTGCTCCTGTCGTTCAGAGTGGCGCCCTCGGCCCAGCGCAGGCAACATTTCCGGACCTGAATCCTTCCTCATCAGTGCTGCCCCCTCCTTTCCCCTACACTGGCTTCTGCTGATGCTCCTGCTCCTCCTGCTCTTGCTACTCCTGTTCCTGCTGCTGCTGATCCTCCTCCGCATCATCACCATCATCCTGCAGAAGATTGACGCATGTGCGTCTCGTCTTTCTGGCCATCGAGCGTGCAGCGATCGGGCGCGTACCCATCTCAGCAGAGGACCCTTCTCCACTCGGACGTGCAGCGCTGGCCCCTCCGCTCTTCTCGGCCACCGTGCTCGCTCATTGGCGGGCGCCTTGGCCACGCCACGCTGACCCAC